AACACTATTATTTGTATTCAAAATACACTGAATTTTGTTCATTATTTCACACAAACTCTTCATTGCATTTAATTTACACTTCATATCAATTAAAGTTTCACTCATTTTTAATACAAAAATGAAAAATTTTACAAAAACTTTAAATTAAAAATTTAAAACTAAAAATTGTTAAAATATTGTATGAGTTTTAATAATAACTTTAACTAATAAGATGTGTTGCGTTTGACACCAACTCTGGAAATGTTGTCTCAAATACTCAAATAATGATTTGTAGAAATAGTTGTGCTCTCAATGTGTTGTCCATACGTTTTAAATGAGACTCAATTATTTGGTACCAAAGGTTTATTTTTCAAACCAATAAAACCCAAATGAAAACATTATCTAAAATACTGTAGTTATTTGTTTTGTCCATATTATGAGTCCAGTCTATAGTACAGTACGAAACGATTGGTTCAAAACTAATAAAAATCTAATTGAAAACATTTTCACATCTTTTACAATACTTTTGCAGAACTTATAAAAACACTTTTAAACACGTTTTATAATTTTTGTTTAACGAATGAAATATCAAATTTTATATTAAATTACAATATTAAATCATAAATGTCAGAGTGATCTATAAATCACATTCTTCATAAATGAATTGTGGTTAAAAATATAAATTTTTCCATAACAAATAAATTAAACAAATCTACATGGTTGTTTTTATTTTTAATTATGTTACTGTCTTTAAAATATTAGTGATAATTATTAATCAAGGTCTTTAAACTATAGGAAAATTTTTCAATAAATAATAATTCGCTTATCATTGAACTAGACGTTTGTCTAACGTTTTAATTGCATAATCATTATGTAATACATGGCGTGTGAATTATTTACAGTATTTATAGCGAGTGTGCTAGTTCACATTATTGTTAATAAACATTTCTCATTTCTTTATGTGTTATTTTAAGTAAATTATTAATTTGTGATATTTTTAATTCAATACAAAATATGTATTTATATACATTTATTAGCAATTATATTCTTGGTGATATTGTGAGTACTATTACAACCATAATCATTAGCGTAATAGTGTATAGTATAGTCAAATTTTATGCCCCGATCTTCACGCTGCCCGCCGGCCCCATACCGGTGCCATTCTTTGGCAATACTTTATGTAAGTAATTATTTAATGCCTATTTATAATTAGCCATGTTAAAGCAATTTTGCTAATTGCGTAACAAACAGTATTCCGGTGCGAACAGCACTGGGATGTAGTGATCAAAAACATGGCCCACAAATACGGCCCACTGTTCACCTTCTGGTTGGGACCGAAACCATTCATTTTTATTACTGACATCGAAAGGGGTCGTCGGGTGTACGGCATGAATGAGTTCGCCGGTCGGCCCGACTCCTACTTCGGCAGTCAGTTGTCAAACGACCGCTTTTCGGACGTTGTGTTCACCGATTACGGCCCCAAATGGGAGGCACTGAGACGGGTGGCCCACTCGGCCGTACAGTATGTGTTGTGTTGAGTAGTTTTTGTTGGAAATGTTTTGTTAATTAATAATTTTGTTTGAATGAAAACAACAGAAAGTTTGCCACAAATGATAGACTAATATATTTGACGAGCGATTGTGTGGACAGAACTGTTAAACTGATGATAGAGAAGGAGGGCATTGGCAGTCCATTCTCGCCACTCGACTATATTTACCATCTGTTTCTCAATCTGTTGGCCACCAGTGCTTTCGGCCGCAGGTTTGTGTAATAAATTGACATAGTTAACAATTTTAGTTTAAAACTAGATGTAAAACAAAGTTTTTTTTTATAAATTAACTTTTAATCTATAAGTTTTTGGAACAAACTATTAATTGTTTACCAGATTTTGAGAAAGAGTTTCATATTTTATTCAAATTAATGCTAAAATAATATATCATTTTAGTTATGAAATGGAGGACAAGGAATACAAACAAATCCGATATGTGTTGCGAGACTTCGGCCGCGAAGCCGGCAATCGGTTTATGTTATGGGAGTTCTCGTCACTCATCCGTCTTTGGGACCGAAAGTTAGTCCGAAAACAGCGGCAAATCATTGAGGATGTGATGGCTTTGATTGCCGACAAATACCGGACACACAGTAGAGACCACTCGGACGCCATTGAGCGGGACTTTTGCGATGCACTCATCAGTGCTAAGAATGACGCCCTCAGAGACGGCAAAGAGTCGGCCCCTTATCTCACAGACCAGAACCTGGCGATGATTATCTACGACCTGTTCTTCGCCGGCAATGACACCACTCA